GCAGGCCAGGCAGCATCAGAGGAGCAGGAAAGTTGACTTTTCGGGTTTCAGGTCGGGACCCTTCAGAAACCCGAAACGTCAACTTTTCCTGCTCCTCTGATGCTGCCTGGCCTGCTGTGTTCATCCAGCTCCACAGTGTTATCTCTGATTCCAGCATTTGCAGATCTTACTATCTCTCGTGTAGTTTGGTATATGTGGGTGGGCTGAAGTGCCTGTTTCTATGCTGTATGACTCTTAAGACATGTAGACAGTACATTACTTGAATTCTAAAAGTCTTTCAGATAAAATCTTGTTTTTCATAAATTCCAACATCCCTGGGACATCTCCCTATTTTTCCAGGAAACATACTATCTTCTTTGTGTAACATCTGCTATTCTAACAGCCTTGAGAATCCCATATCTGTATCTGGTGGTACTTTTCCTGACACTTGTACAGGATTGGATGTGCCTACCATATCAGCAAACCGTTCTTGGAATAAGGATAAATGAATTACAAATATGTACAGGCTAACTAAATTTTCTATGTATTTCTAATGCCCTTTATCACTATAATAACTTAAGATTTTATAAATCTTTCAAATTGATGTGAGTTTAACCCATGCTATATCCATATCCAATATTTCTCCCTAAAAGGGGAAGGTCAGGAGGGGAGGAAGTGGGGTGGGGAATGGAGGGGATGGGAGAAAGGCAATGGGAGGGGGAAGAGGATGTTGGAGAATAAAAATAGGAAAAAGATGGGGGAGGGAGAAGCGTGGATGTGGGAAAGCATAGGAGAAAGAGGACTTGGAGAAGTTAAGAAATGGGTAATGAGTGTAGAAAGGGAATGAAGTGACTAAGGGAGGGAATGGGGGAGGAAGAGGATGGAGATGGGGAATATAGGAAAGGGGATGGGGCAGAGGGAAGGAAAAAGGGAGGTGTGTGGGGGATGTAGGAACTGGAGTTTAAGGGGCAAGGGAATGGGGAGGAAAGTAGATGTGGGGCAGGGGGAAAGGAAGGAGGGAGGTGAGGGAGGGTTACAGGAAGAAAGCATATGTGAAGGGTGGGAAGTGGACATGGTGAAAGGGAGAGAAAGAAAGGTGTTGTGTTGGCCTGAATGGGCAGCAGATTGGAGAGAAGGCAGGTGGAGGGAAGAGTGGGCAGGCTGAGGGGAGACAGGCTAGGAACAGGAGGCGAGAAAGAGTGAGGTGAGATGAAGGGGAGAGGGAGGACAGAAGGTAAGAAAGGATGGGGTGAGATAGAGGGGAGAGGGGGTGTTACACGTCACTGTGATTCATTCCTGCTGTTGTCATAAAAGTTTAAGATTTTATAGAAGTGCGTAATAGGCAGAACTTTATTTTTGGCTTGATCAGGGCAATCCCTTAACCAATCAGAAAATTAAAATTTAAAACAAGTTTGGCAGGAAACTGTAAATCATCAATAACAATCTCTAGTAGAGTCCACTTGACAACAACCAAACAGCACTCTCCTCTCGCACAGTATCGATATTGTTTTCCTTTCACTTTATTTCTTGCACTTTGTCCTGATTGATGCAAAATAAAAAGCTCTGACATTTTTGTCTGCAATACACGAGTTTTGTATTTTCGATACTAAAAGTTTCAAAATTTTGAGTATCTGACTTTCATCTTTTGCAGAGAAGTTGATGCCTTTCTCATAACACTATGTCTAATTTCCCTGGAAAGATGGGTTCCTCAAATTCTACCGACACAACTGTTCTATTTAAGCAGGAGGATCATTTTGGGTATCGAATACCTTCATTGCTCCACATTCCAGATACAGATGTGCTTCTGGCAATTTCTGAGAAGAGATTAGGTCCCAAGGACGAAAATGCTGATACACTTATGGTCCGAAGGGGCACATACAATAAGTCTTCAATAAATTTTGAGGTAAACTGAAAGAAACATATGAAGAGCTGGAACCCTAAATGTTTAAAAAATTTGTGTGGTTAGTAAATTCAAAATTAGTTAATGCCAATTGTTTTTTTGATTGAGAGACAATAAGAATTGCATTTCTGGATTTTTCTTCATGTGAACTGCTGCAGTTAAAGAATACAGCTGGTCACTGCCTTCTCATGGCTTTTAGGGATGGGTAGTAAATTATGTCAAGTGGTATCCCATTTTTAATTGGGATTTGATTTTAGGTTTGAAGTAAAGGAAATGTGGATATGGGGAGGTGTAACTTTTCATTTGCATTGCATGCTGAGTCAAACCATGAACAAAATCTATTTAACCTTGAGTGAAATTGCATTTGTATGCAATCCAAAATTACGTGTTACAATTTAATGAATGAGTGACGTTATGTCTCTGCTGTCTGTTGTCATCTTACCCTGACATCTTGATTTCCTTCCAGTAAAACCCGCATGGATTTTGACTTTTGGGAGTGCAGGTTAATTTCTGGCTTGGGTATATCGTTTTATAAGACCAGCTTCCCATGGGTATTTCATTCGGGATTGATTGATAAAGTATTTGCATCTTATTACTCAGTCCTTAGGAAGGATATTGTTAAGCTAGAAAGGGTTCAGAAAAGTTTTTTACCAGGATGTTGCTGGGAATGGAGTGTTTGACTTAGAGAGACCAGCTGGGGCATTTTTTCACTGGAGCATAGGAGGTTGAGAGGTGACCTTGGAGAGGTTTTTATAATCATGAGGGATATAGATAGGGTTAATAGTAGGTCTCTTTTTCCCTAGGACTAAGGGGCGAGGTGAGAGATGTGAAAAAGACAAGGGCAACCTTTTTTACATAAGATGGCCTGTGTGTGGAATGAACGTCCTGAGGAAGCGGCAGATATGGGCAGTGTTACAATGTATAAAAGACACTTAGATAAGCGCATGAATAGGAATGATTTGGAGGGGATATGGGCCAGGAGCAGGCAGTTGGGACTAATTTAGTTTTGGACCATGTTCAGCATGGATTGGTTGGACCAAAGGGTCTGTTTCTGTGCTGTATGATTATATGAATGCTCATCCTTAATTGCTATATGACATCAAATAAATCTTAGCCTGTTGTCTTTAAAATCATCCCAAATGAGATTACCGTTTCTGAAGAAGGGTCTAGGCCTGAAACGTCAGCCTTCCTGCTCCTCTGATGCTGCTTGGCCTGCTGTGTTCATCCAGCTGTACACCGTGTTATCTCAGATTACCTAATGTATTTTTTGATCTCTGTAGAGGCTCTCCAAGGTTTCATTTCCAAAAAATAGACATTTCGAAATCCCAGGTTTTTACAAAGAGGATAAAACCACAAGACTCCACAGCTTATAAACAAACCAAGTACAGTAAATCTTCATTTAAAGTTGTAGTTGTAATCCTGGAAATCACAATTTTGTGTGAAACTATTTTAAGTGGATCAAAAGTTCTGACACCAATTTACTTGAGAGCCAGATTTGGTCGTCTCCAGACTTTTGTGGGCAATATCTGTATAATTGAAATGCTATACCTTATGAATGATGCTTTATTGTCACTGGTGCTCTACAATGAACAACACAGTAAAATACAGTGAAAAGATTCAACAATCTGGCACCATTTGGAATCATTTGAGAATAAAAATATGTAGCTAAAAGACAGTCCAACTTTATTCTGCCACCTCTAGCATGAGTCCAGAGCCCTGACTGACACCTGTGACGACAGCCATATGACAGCGTTATGCGTTCTTAGCTGAAGTAACCTGCTGAACAAAATATGTAACTTTTTTTAATATCTCCCGACACAACCTGTTAAGATGTTTTTTAAAAAACTCAGCTGTATTTTAAAATTGATCTGGTACCAGCTAGTGGCATTGCTTCCTGCACTAACTAATGCAATGTCCCAGACAAACTGGCAAGCAGAAATGGTGAGGGAAGTAGAACTAAATGAGAACAGGCAAGGGAAGGACAAGAGCAGAAGGGAGCAAAGTCGAGGTGAGTGGGTAAGAGCTGAGGGGAGAAATTTCAGGGTGGCAAGGCAGCATTGGCCAGGGGGTATACTGTAAACTTTACTGTACAAAGTTACAAAAGTAAAATGATCATTTTCTCTCTACCAACTAGAAATATAAGTCGAAGTCCCATAAGTTTCTAGCGTGTGATTAAAAAAAACTTTACAATAGTAGAATATAATTCAGTAATTTAATGGAGAACCGCAGGTTTGAATGGACAGATGGCTGTTGTCAGCTATGACTTTGACTTTTACTTCAATATATGAAGTAAACCATACAATTCCACAAAGATGAGTAGCACATCACAATATTAGACTGAATACAATGAACAGCAAAGAATGACAACTAGAATAATAAGAAAGGGGAAATTATAGAATGAGAGGATGCTATGTAGAAATAAAGAAGATTTACAGGTATTTGGAAAAAGAAAAGTCAGTAAAGTGAGTTGGTTCTGGGTCTGGGAAACTCATTATGGAAGATGGGGAAATTAAGTATAAATTGAACATTTTGCTGGTCATCACTGTAGATGATACAAATAACAGTGACTCAAAGTGTAAGGGAGTAACTTAAAACAATTATAATTTCCAAAGAAATGTTGCTGAGAAAATGATTAGAAATAGTAAATGTGAATCCCTCATCCATTTTAGAAGTCGGAAAGGAGGAAGTGGCAAGTATTGCAATACAGAAATTGGGGATTAGGCCTCAATTATTTGTATATCAGTGATTCGGCTGAAGAGACCAAATGTTAAATTTACTGATAACTTATTTTCCAAACTATCTTGTTATCATGAGGCAATAGCGAATCTGTAATGGGATATGGACAGGCTTAGTGAATGGGAAGAAGATTGGCATTTGGAGCAAAAGTTGGGAAAACGGGATCTTGTCCAATTTGGCAGCAAGCATAGAAAGTATCACTATCCAAATGGTGAGAGACTGCAGGACTATTGCAAGGGGAATGGAAGGTGAAACTATGAATGTTTCTACTGGTATTCATTGAGGAAGCACCTGGAATAGTGTGTACAATTTTAGGCTTTTTTTAAGAAAAAATGTGAAGGCATTTGATGCAGTTTAGAGAAGCATCACTTGAATGATACCTGGAACGAGGGAGCTCTCATAAGGTAAGGTTGGATGGTTTGGACCTGTATCCATTGGAGTTGGGAAGAATGAGAGATGGTCTTATTGGAACACATTAAATCCTGAGGGCTTATTACAGGGTGGATGTTCGAAGGATGTAGCAGAGACTAGAACTAGGAGACACACTTTTTAAACACAAAAGCTGTCCCATTTAAGATGGAAATGGAGATTTATTTTCTCTCCAGGTTGTTCTTTGCAAGAATGGTGAAGATTGGGTCATTGAATACTTTAAAGCAGAAGTAGTTAGATTCTTGATTAACAAGGAAGTAGATAGTTATCAGGGGTAGACAGGAATGTGGAATTGAAGCCAAATGAATGGCCTATTCCTGCTCCTGCTTATGTTTGAAAATGGAATGATCAGAATTTGTTTCCAGAACTTTAGAGCTAGTGGGAAGTTCATGCAATAACCCAGTCCTACTTGATTTACTCTTGGTTTTATTTTCAGTGGGACGATGTAACATGCATTGAGTCTGCACAGCTACATGATCACCGATCCATGAATCCTTGTCCTGTCTATGACAAAGAAAAATGCACCATTTTCCTCTTCTTTATTGCTGTCTACGACAGTGTAACTGAGCAAGAGCAGCTACACTCTGGGAGAAATTTCACACGACTTTGCTTTGTTACCAGCACAGATAAAGGAAAGACCTGGAGCACTGCTACTGATTTGACAGATTGTCAACTAGGTCAGCGCATTAACAAGTGGGCGACGTTTGCTGTGGGACCAGGTCATGGTATTCAACTCAGGTCTGGACGCCTCATTATCCCAGCCTATGCTTATGAGAAAATTCCCGTTTGCCAATGTCGGGCTTTCACCTTCTATAGTGATGATCATGGAGAGAGCTGGAGAGTTGGGGACTTCATTTCCAAAGAGGAATGTGGTGAATGCCAGATGGTGGCAATGCATCGAGGCCATGGACCTGAAATTGTTTATTGCAATGCTCGGAGTATTAAGCATGGTAAACACCAGTATCGTGTGCAGGCTTTTAGCACAGATGGTGGAGATGCTTTTACAGAAGGGCATCTGGTGAAAAAGCTTGTTGAACCACCAAATGGTTGCCATGGCAGTATCATCAATTTTCATTCGTCAAAAATTTCACACATCAATATTTATCATGTCATTAAAAAACATCATTTTCAGCAGGAGAAAGGCACATCAAAGTTAGCAAAAGATTTTGAGATTATATTATTCTCACATACGACAAGCATGGAATCACGTAGTGATTTAGGAATTTATCTTGGTACTTACTATGGTCATTCTCCTACCTGGACAGACCCTTGGGTCATTTGTCATGGTCCTTGTGCCTACTCAGAACTGGCTTTTGTAGAAATTCCTGGGGAAGAAATTCCTCTTGTTGCCTGTTTGTTTGAATGTGGATCCACATCTGAAAGTGAACAGATCTCATTCACTGTATTCCAAGTTGATGAGGTTATTAAGAACATTTTAGAAATAAAACCTCATGATAATTCTCATTGCTAATCAGAATATTCACTAACCTCAAGATTGTAAACTACTTGGGAGGGAAAGCCTGTGCCATAGTTGTTTATGGTGCAGTTTCAACTTGCCCAAAGTTGGTTTGGAAAAATGACCAAATATTCAGAGAACTGATCATTCCATTTATGCAATAAAACCTGATTTGAAACTGTTTTGTGGTGTGACATTACTGATGATCCGTTGGATTCTTCCATTCACAATATTGACCACTCCTGGAACCAACAAGTCTGCAGCTGGCCTTATCAGAAGTAGCTTTCGCTCAGGATTGATCTTTGGAAGAACGGTAAAGGTTGGATCATTGAATACTTAAAACAGAGATAGTTGGATTCTTGACAGCAAGGGAGTAGATAATTACCATGATAGGTGGGAATGTGGAATTGAAGCCAAAATCAAATGGACCATGATGTTATTGAATGACAGAGCGGGCCAGTGCCTCTGAATGGCCTACTGCAGCTCCGACTTCATATGTTTGAAACTTGAATGATCAGAATTTGTTTTCAGAACTTTAGAGCTGCTGGGAAGTTAATGTAATTACCAGCCCTACTCTATTTACTCCCAGTTTTCTCAGTGGGGCCATGTAACATGTATTCTGTCTTCCTGAGTAAATGACCATGTAGCCATGAATCCTCGTCCTGCCTGTGACAAAGAAACAGGCAGCATCTCTCTCTTAATTGTTGCCTCTGGAAATATGACTGAGCAATATCAAAGGTAAAGTAACCATGGTTTTACCAGACCATAAGGCAGTTAACTCACTTGAGAGCGATGGCTGGTGCTGATTTAACCTGAGGGTCACCACACCTCAGGTGAGGAGAAGAATCCCTCCTGGTAACCTTGGCTGGTGCAGGAGGTGAACCCACGCTGTTGGCATCACAGTTGTAATCCAAGTGTTAGTGGGAACTGTTCTGATACACTGCTGTGATGTGCAGTTACACGGAACAAACTAATGATTGAATATTGGGGAGCTTTGTGAAGTTGATCAGGGTGGGAAATATGTCCAATGTTTGTCTTCTAAACCGTGAAGATGTCCTAATTGCTGTGTGTAGGTATCATGACCCTTCAGCTTTTCCAACAGGTGGCAGCACCAAATCACATCATCAAAATGAAAACAGAAAAGTGCGGGAGAAACTCAGCAGGTCTGACAGCATCTGTGGAGAGAGGAGTAGATGTCATGTGTGAAGAATGGGGGGTGGGGGGGTGCGGGATGAGGTAGGTGAGAGGTGTGAGCGGATGAAATGTATATAGTCGTGGTTGAAGTCGAATGAGTGGTGGCTGTGAGCTACAGGAGCTGAGATGGTGGTATTTCCATAGGAGACCACTGAGTTTCTTTCTGCATTGCAGGGTATCTTGCTTTGTGTGGGACACAGCACTGAGCCCAGCTACAGATCGAGTCAAGGCTGGCTTGGGCTGATGGTGTTGCTGCCTGTGGAAGTTGGCAGGATAAGGGACAGCCTCTGGCGTCCAGCACAGTGTCCACAGACACTGTTTATGAGAGGTGATGGCCTAGTGGTATTATTGCTGGACTTTTAATCCAGAAACCCAGATAACGTTCCGGTGACCTGGGTTCAAATCCTGCCATGGCAGCTGGAATATCTGGAATTAAGCGTCTAATGATGACCACGAATCCATTGCCAATTGTTGGAAAAACCTATCTGGTTCGCTAATATCCTTTATGGGAGGAAACTATCATCCTTACTTGGTCTGGCCTACATGTGATTCCAGACCCACAGCAATGTCGTTAACTCCTAACTGCCCTCTGGGCAATAAGGGATGGGCAATAAATGCTGCCTAGCCAGCGATGCCCTTGTCCCGTGAATGAATAAAGGACCTCCAGGTCCAAGTCAGTGCAGCAGGGAGTGAGCTTTTCCTCCCACTAGGCCATGATAATGGTCAAACAGTGTGAGGGCTAGTTTTTGAGCTGAAGTGAGATGCAGCTGAACTTTTAAGGGTGGTGTCAGTATTGGTGAGTAATTATGCCTCCTCAACCACAACATTCCTCAAGAAAGGTTTTTAAGAGCCTGGTTAGATAATGAGGTGAAGAAAGTTACTTTGAACTGTGGCAGACTAGGCATGAATAGCATCTGACAACACTTTAACTGATAATGGGAAAGTTTCACCTTTCACAGCCTCCACAACCAGCAGCTCCAGAGGGGACAATAGCACTCACCCCTGCTGAGTCTTCACCATCCCCCTCCAGACCTACCCCTTACTGAGGACGAACGGTCAGTCCTCAGTAAAGGGCTCACCTTTGTCCCCCTCCACCCACAGATCAATGAATACCGCTCATGCTTGGACATAGAGCAGTTTTTCCGCCGCCTCCGCCTCCACGCTTACTTCTTCAACCGTGAACCTAACCCTCCCTCTACTGACCCCTTCTCCCGCCTCCAACACACCCCCTCCTCCTGGACACCACCCCAAGGCCTCCTACCCTCCCTTGACCTCTTCATCTCCAACTGCCGTCGAGACATCAATTGCCTCAACCTCTCCACCCCTCTCACCCACTCCAACCTCTCCCCTGCAGAACGTGCAGCCCTCCGCTCCAATCCCAACTTCACCATAAAACCCGCAGACAAGGGAGGCGCAGTTGTATGGCGCACTGACCTCTACATCGCCGAGGCCAGACGCCAACTCTCCGACACCACCTCCTACCGCCCCCTTGATCATGACCCCACCCCTGAGCACCAAACCATCATCTCCCAATCCATCCACAACCTCATCACCTCAGGTGACCTCCCACCCACGGCCTCCAACCTCATTGTTCCCCAATCCCGCACCGCCCGCTTCTATCTCCTTCCCAAAATCCACAAACCTGAATGCCCTGGTCGACCCGTTGTCTCCGCCTGCTCCTGCCCCACCGAACTTATCTCCAACTATCTGGACTCCGTTTTCTCCCCCTTGGTCCGGGAACTCCCTACCTATGTCCGTGACACCACCCACGCTCTCCACCTCCTCCAGAACTTCCAATTCCCCGGTCCCCAACACCTCATCTTTACCATGGACGTCCAGTCCCTCTACACCTGCATTCCCATACAGATGGCCTAAAGGCCTTCCGCTTCTTCCTGTCCCGCAGGCCTGACCAGTCCCCCTCCACTGACACCCTCATCCGCTTAGCTGAACTCGTCCTCACCCTCAACAACTTCTCTTTCAATTCCTCCCACTTCCTACAGACAAAGGGGGTGGCCATGGGTACCCACATGGGCCCAAGCTACGCCTGCCTCTTTGTAGGTTACGTGGAACAATCCCTCTTCCGTACTTAAACTGGCCCTAAACCCCACCTCTTCCTCCGTTACATTGATGACTGTATCGGCCTCGTGCTCCCATGAGGAGCTTGAACAGTTCATCCACTTCATCAACACCTTCCACCCCAAACTTAAGTTTACCTGGACCATCTCTAATACCTCTCTCTCCTTCCTGGACTTCTGTCTCCATCTCGGGCAACCACCTAGAAACCGATATTCATTTCAAGCCCACCGACTCCCACAGCTACCTAGAATACTCCTCCTCCCACCCACCTTCCTGCAAAAATGCCATCCCCTATTCCCAATTCCTCCGCCTCTGCCGCATCTGCTCCCAGGATGAGGCATTTCACTCCCGTACATCTCAGTTGTCCTCGTTTTTCAAGGAGCGTAACTCCTCCTGCCCCCCGCCCCCCCAGTGGTCGAGAACGCCCTTAGCCGTGTCTCCCACATTTCCCGCAACTCATCCCTCACACCCCGTCCATGCAATAAGAACCAAAAAAGAATCCCCCTCGTCCTCACGTACCACCCCACCAACCTCCGGATCCAACGCATCATCCTCCGACACTTCCGCCGTCTGCAATCAGACCCCACCACCAAAGACATTTTTTCCTCCCCACCCTTTATCTGCTTTCCGGAGGGACCACTCTCTCCGTGACTCCCTTGTCCGCTCCACACTCCCCTCCAGCCCCACCACACCCAGCACTTCCTGCGGTTGCAGGGAAAAGTGCTACACCTGCCCCCATACCTCCTCCCTCACCCCCATCCCAGGTCCCAAGAAGACTTTCCATATCAAGCAGATGTTCACCTGCACGTCTGCCAATGTGCTATACTGCATCTGCTGTACCCGTTGTGGCCTCCTCTACATCGGGGAAACCAAGCGGAGGCTCGGGGACCGCTTTGCAGAACACCTACGCTCGGTTCACAATAAACAACTGCACCTCCCAGTCGCAAACCATTTCAACTCCCCCTCCCATTCCTCAGACGACATGTCCATCCTGGGCCTCCTGCAGTGCCACAACGATGCCACCCGAAGGTTGCAGGAACAGCAACTCATATTCCGCTTGGGAACCCTGCAGCCCAATGGTATCAATGTGGATTTCACAAGCTTCAAAATCTCCCCTCCCCCTACCGCATCCCAAAACCAGTCCAGCTCATCCCCGCCTCCCTAACCAGTTCTTCCTTCTACCTATCCCCTCCTCCCACCTCAAGCCGCACCCCCATCTCCTACCTACTAACCTCATCCCGCCCCCTTGACCTGTCCGTCCTCCCTGGACTGACCTATCCCCTCCCTAACTCCCCACCTACACTCACCTTTTACTGGTCCCATCCCTGCCTCTTCGACTTGTTTGTTTCCTCTCCACCTATCTTCTCCTTTATCCATCTTCTATCTGCCTCCCCTGCTCTCCCTATTTATTTCAGAACCCCCTTCCCCTCCCCCATTTCTCAGGAAGGGTCTCGGCCCGAAACGTCAGCCTTTCTGCTTGCGCTGCTGTGTTCGTCCAGCTCTACACCTTGTTGTCTCTAATTTTCACCTTCTGTCTGTTTGATGATCGAGATCAGATCCCCACCCCTGAACGTGTAGTGACAGAGGATGTCCTTAGAAATGGTGTCAGAGGAGTTGTGTGGCAGGAGAATTGTGCTTCAGGCACCTCTGATTTTATGACTTGAAGCCAAAGTCAAGAAGCCACACTTTGTGAATAACTAATTTTGAGGCGTTGTTTTTGTGTTGTAAACCCAAGACTGAACGATTTATCATATACAAACTAACATTGGCAGAGAGAAAATTAAATAGTACAGTAAGCTGATTGACATCTTTACTTTCAACTTGAAATATTTATTTTCAGCCTATTCACAGCAAAAACAGACAGATAAACAAACACAGTTAAGGGATAAATAAAATAACAAACCTGACGAAG